TTCTAGTTCAGTTCTAGTTCAGTTCTAGTTCAGTTCTAGTTCAGTTCTTCTAGTTCAGTTCTAGTTCAGTTCTAGTTCAGTTCTAGTTCAGTTCTAGTTCAGTTCTAGTTCAGTTCTAGTTCAGTTTCTAGTTCAGTTCTAGTTCAGTTCTAGTTCAGTTCTAGTTCAGTTCTAGTTCAGTTCTAGTTCAGTTCTAGTTCAGTTCTAGTTCAGTTCTAGTTCAGTTCTAGTTCAGTTCTAGTTCAGTTCTAGTTCAGTTCTAGTTCAGTTCTAGTTCAGTTCTAGTTCAGTTTAGTTCAGTTCTAGTTCAGTTCTAGTTCAGTTCTAGTTCAGTTCTAGTTCAGTTCTAGTTCAGTTCTAGTTCAGTTCTAGTTCAGTTCTCTTCAGTTCTAGTTCAGTTCTAGTTCAGTTCTAGTTCAGTTCTAGTTCAGTTCTAGTTCAGTTCTAGTTCAGTTCTAGTTCAGTTCTAGTTCAGTTCTAGTTCAGTTCTAGTTCAGTTCTAGTTCAGTTCTAGTTCAGTTCTAGTTCAGTTCTAGTTCAGTTCTAGTTCAGTTCTAGTTCAGTTCTAGTTCAGTTCCTAGTTCAGTTCTAGTTCAGTTCTAGTTCAGTTCTAGTTCAGTTCTAGTTCAGTTCTAGTTCAGTTCTAGTTCAGTTCTAGTTCAGTTAGTTCAGTTCTAGTTCAGTTCTAGTTCAGTTCTAGTTCAGTTCTAGTTCAGTTCTAGTTCAGTTCTAGTTCAGTTCTAGTCAGTTCTAGTTCTAGTTCAGTTCTAGTTCAGTTCTAGTTCAGTTCTAGTGCAGTTCTAGTTCAGTTCTAGTTCAGTTCTAGTTCAGTTCTAGTTCAGTTCTAGTTCAGTTCTAGTTCAGTTCTAGTTCAGTTCTAGTTCAGTTCCAGTTCAGTTCTAGTTCAGTTCTAGTTCTAGTTCAGTTCAGTTCTAGTTCAGTTCTAGTTCAGTTCTAGTTCAGTTCTAGTTCAGTTCAGTGGTTGAAAATGAACAAATGATAAATTCATTGAAAAAAGATAATTACCCATTACTAATATGATAATATACATAGCTGTATAATTATATATCACGAATAAGCTAAATTAAATATACCCTGCAGTTTTAAAAGTTGCAACAGAAACTTACTATACCCTTAAATAAATTTTAACATCCGTTATATTTTAACACAAATATAAAATAATGATTGCCTCTTAGAGAAATCAAATCACGAGGGAATACATTTGCCAGTAGGTTAGCGGGCAACTAGAGCTGAAAAAGTAATTAATTAACGTCAACTAGTTCCACGGAACGCAGGAGAAATCAATACCTCGATACACTTAAAACACTAGACAAACCCCAGACTTAGACGAAGCAAAAGAAAAAAAAGAAATATTTTGTTTTAATAAATATTAACTAATGAATTAAATTAAGTTCATTGCACTCATTTAAAGCTGTTTTAAAACGGTTGCATATATTAATAATGAAGTTGTTGAATGACGATTAAGCATTAATAACAGCAGCTTGTTTAAATATTAATAAAAACAAACACATATTAATATTGAAACAAAATAAAACAGTTTTAAACAATATAAATCAAATTTAATGACTATTAAAATAACAAATAACAATAATAATATTTACCTTTTCTTAATAATGGGTAAGTAAAAACACTTTTGTAAATGTTAATTATACTTAAAAATAAAAATAAAAAATATGAAATGTTAACAGCTAATTTCTACTGTTTAACGATTAAACAGTTAATTTATTAATTGTTAAGAGAAGAAAAAAAACAAAAACATTTTCATAAAAGTGAATGTAAACAAACAAAAGATTTAAGTAACAAACTTGACAATTTATAACCAAATAATTCTATTTTTGGGGTATTTTGTTAAATTTTATATCAAAAAATGTTGAAATATAAATTTTTATTTAAGAAGATGTTAAAAATTATAAAAACATATTTAGATAAATGAATGTTATGCTAAAGCTAACACGTTACATTATTTCAAATTTCATTCAAATCTCTAAAATTTTGAAAAATAGGTCACTGTCTAGACACATTTTGAAAAGTTTGGGAGCAAAGTTCAGTTTGGGTTTGTTCTATTTGTATTATTGTCATAAATCTAACCATTCTATTGTTTAAACAAATTAATAATACAGAAAAATTTCACCATTATTTTATATTTTATTGCCAAAATTAATGAGATTTTCTAAAATCAAAGAAAAGAAAGTAACATTTAAATTTTGAATTTTAAATATTTACGTCACTAAAGTCCTAAATTTTGAAATGTACTTAATAGATACATTTGGCAATTATATTATATTATAGCTTAGAATTTTTATGACGCAAATTAAGATACGGCTATTTAATATTCTATTGCACTTATCTAGGGCAAATTAGAAACTAGAATATTATTCGCCAACAATAATATTTAAATTAATAAAATTTAGAACTAATTAACGAACTAATTAATAGATTTATTGGAAATACGTCATAATAACTCTAGTTCTAGTTCAGTTCTAGTTCAGTTCTAGTTCAGTTCTAGTTCAGTTCTAGTTCAGTTCTAGTTCAGTTCTAGTTCAGTTCTAGTTCAGTTCTAGTTCAGTTCTAGTTCAGTTCTAGTTCAGTTCTAGTTCAGTTCTAGTTCAGTTCTAGTTCAGTTCTAGTTCAGTTCTAGTTCAGTTCTAGTTCAGTTCTAGTTCAGTTCTAGTTCAGTTCTAGTTCAGTTCTAGTACAGTTTAGTTCAGTTCTAGTTCAGTTCTAGTTCAGTTCTAGTTTAGTTCTAGTTCAGTTCTAGTTCAGTTCTAGTTCAGTTCTAGTTCAGTTCTAGTTCAGTTCTAGTCCAGTTCTAGTTCAGTTCTAGTTCAGTTCTAGTTCAGTTCAGTTCTAGTTCAGCTCTAGTTCAGTTCTAGTTCAGTTCTAGTTCAGTTTTAGTTCAGTTCTAGTTCAGTTCTAGTTCAGTTCTAGTTCAGTTCTAGTTCAGTTCTAGTTCAGTTCTAGTTCAGTTCTAGTTCAGTTCTAGTTCAGTTCTAGTTCAGTTCTATTTCAGTTCTAGTTCAGTTCTAGTTCAGTTCTAGTTCAGTTCTAGTTCAAGTTCAGTTCTAGTTCAGTTCTAGTTCAGTTCTAGTTCAGTTCTAGTTCAGTTCTAGTTCAGTTCTAGTTCAGTTCTTCTAGTTCAGTTCTAGTTCAGTTCTAGTTCAGTCTAGTTCAGTTCTAGTTCAGTTCTAGTTCAGTTTTCTAGTTCAGTTCTAGTTCAGTTCTAGTTCAGTTCTAGTTCAGTTCAGTTCAGTTCAGTTCTAGTTCAGTTCTAGTTGTCGAGGTCAGTTCTAGTTCAGTTCTAGTTCAGTTCTAGTTCAGTTCTAGTTTCAGTTCTAGTTCAGTTCTAGTTTCAGCTTCTAGTTCAGTTCTAGTTAAGTTCTAGTTCAGTTCTAGTTCAGTTCTAGTTCAGTTCTAGTTCAGTTCTAGTTCAGTTCTAGTTCAGTTCTAGTTCAGTTCTAGTCAGTTTAAGCAGTTCTAGTTCAGTTCTAGTTCAGTTCTAGTTCAGTTCTAGTTCAGTTCTAGTTCAGTTCTAGTTCAGTTCTAGTTCAGTTCTAGTTCAGTTCTAGTTCAGTTCTGTTCAGTTCTAGTTCCGCTCTAGTTCAGTTCTAGTTCAGTCTAGTTCAGCTTCTAGTTCCGTAGTTCCGTTCTAGTTCAGTTCTAGTTCAGTTCTAGTTCAGTTCTAGTTCAGTTCTAGTTCAGTTCTAGTTCAGTCTAGTTCGTCTCGTTCAGCTTCTAGTTCAGTTCTAGTCAGTCTAGTTCAGTTCTAGTTCAGTTCTAGTTCAGTTCTAGTTCAGTTCTAGTTCAGTTCTAGTTCAGTTCTAGTTCAGTTCTAGTTCAGTTCTAGTTCAGTTCTAGTTCAGTTCTAGTTCAGTTCTAGTTCAGTTCTAGTTCAGTTCTAGTTCAGTTCTAGTTCAGTTCTAGTTCAGTTCTAGTTCAGTTCTAGTTCAGTTCTAGTTCAGTTCTAGTTCAGTTCTAGTTCAGCTCTAGTTCAGTTCAGTTCTAGTTCAGCTCTAGTTCAGTTCTAGTTCAGTTCTAGTTCAGTTCTAGTTCAGTTCTAGTTCAGTTCTAGTTCAGTTCTAGTTCAGTTCTAGTTCAGTTCTAGTTCAGTTCTAGTTCAGTTCTAGTTCAGTTCTAGTTCAGTTCTAGTTCAGCTCTAGTTCAGCTCTAGTTCAGTTCTAGTTCAGTTCTAGTTCAGTTCTAGTTCAGCTCTAGTTCAGCTCTAGTTCAGTTCTAGTTCAGTTCTAGTTCAGTTCTAGTTCAGTTCTAGTTCAGTTCTAGTTCAGTTCTAGTTCAGTTCTAGTTCAGTTCTAGTTCAGTTCTAGTTCAGTTCTAGTTCAGTTCTAGTTCAGTTCTAGTTCAGTTCTAGTTCAGTTCTAGTTCAGTTCTAGTTCAGTTCTAGTTCAGTTCTAGTTCAGTTCTAGTTCAGTTCTAGTTCAGTTCTAGTTCAGTTCTAGTTCAGTTCTAGTTCAGTTCTAGTTCAGTTCTAGTTCAGTTCTAGTTCAGTTCTAGTTCAGTTCTAGTTCAGTTCTAGTTCAGTTCTAGTTCAGTTCTAGTTCAGTTCTAGTTCAGTTCTAGTTCAGTTCTAGTTCAGTTCTAGTTCAGTTCTAGTTCAGTTCTAGTTCAGTTCTAGTTCAGTTCTAGTTCAGTTCTAGTTCAGTTCTAGTTCAGTTCTAGTTCAGTTCTAGTTCAGTTCTAGTTCAGTTCTAATCGAGTTCTAGATCATTTCTAGTTAAGTTCTAGTCCTAATACAACGAAAGATTCGGATAATATTTGATTCGTTTTTAAATCATTTAATGTCCAGTGTGAGTAATATTCAATGCGTCACTAAAAAACACAAAAATAACTTTCATAGAAGAAAAGACAAAAGTAGAATCTACTTCATTAGTTAGGAATGACTGCAATAGAAGTTATTTTTTCTATAAATTTATTCCTTCCAAAAAAATATCGTTAACAATTTGTTGAAATATTTCTTTTTCTAGCCTGGTCACCGTGTACCACGTTATTCTCTCGTCAATTGGGGTATTTGTGTGCCATCGTCGTGCAGCAACAAAGATGTCGAATATAGTGTTAAAGAGATTCTTAACAATATGACAGAATCAACAGGAATTCCTTCAAAGTGCGTGTAGAACCACAAATGTGTCAATACAAAGACAATAAACCTTGGGATCGTAATACTACGTGGGCAGTGTAAGTTTGTTTACATAAAATCGGCAACATACAATCAAAAAAAAAAAACTTTACATAATCGTATAAACCATAAAAAATAACAATTAATGATTTCTCTTTTTTTCAAATTTTTATCTTAGACGTTTCTTTGTAACCATCTTATCCATAACAATTTTATCAACTATTTACCATCATTGTACCAAAAACAAACAATCAAGTAAGTTGTCGATCACTCACTCATCACGATCGTTATTTAATAAGTGTTGAATTTATCCACTTTAAAGTGTTGTTTTTAATTAATTTTATGATTTAATTAATTTCATATAAAATTTACATAAATTTTTTTAGATCCATGGTTATGTGCCTTCTCCTTGGAAAAAATCTTACTTGGTTATTTAGTACCTCTTCGTCGACCGATGATATTAAGGTAGTACATGGTTTAAGATTATTAAATGCCATTATGTTGCTCTTCTCCCATAAATCCATGGCCATGTTTTTTAATCCCTACAACAATCGTACCGAAATGTCGGAGGTAAATAGACACTTTCATGATCACGATTGGAACATTCGAAATGAATAAACTTTTTTTGTTTTTTTTTTTTTTATATATAGAGTTTAGGTCGTTCTTGGACTGTTATTGGTCGTGCTGCCTCTTTGTATACCGATCCCTTTTTACTATTCAGTGGCATGTTGACTGCGTATTCATTCTTCGGTCGCCTTAATAAAGGTCAATCTATACGTTTAAAGAATGAATATATAAGTCGAATAATACGGTAAGTTGTTTCTGTTTGATTTGTAATTTAATTAGCATTTATTTCTTTATAAAGAGTTTATTTTTGATGTTTGTTTATCTAGACAAGCTTGTGTGCTTTAAGTATTTTCTGTTTGTGACCAATTACTTGCATAGTACAATTGCGTTTTTGTACTTTATGCAGAAAATTAACACTAATTTTTTGTGTATCGTCTATAAAAGACGAGCACATTCTGTTTTTATTGCGCTCGTGTTAATGAATGTAAAATTTAACATTTACTTGTTTAATTTATTACTTTTGTTATTGCTTTATAATGACATGTGTGTTATTGTTAAAATGTTGCACGAGCAGATGATTTAAATTTTATAATATTTTGCTATTAAAATATTATGAACAGAATGTCCTTTATTATAAGCAAAAATGCATATTTCAAGGTGAACCAATACCTGCACAACATTACTTGCAGGATTAGTTTCACATTTCGTTAAGCCATTAACATACACATTTTTGGAAGACCCCAGATATCTTGGGGATCCAAATCTTCAATAACTCTGTTAGATATGCTTTCGAGAAGATCGCTATTCAAAATCAGCAAAATTGGTCTATAAAAAATGGAGATCTAAGCAAAAATAAAAGTACTAATCGACTTTCCGCAGAACTAAGCTATAAACTAGCCTATAGACTCGGTTATAAAACTATACTATAGACTAGACTATAGACTAGACTGTAGACTAGACTATAGACTAGACTATAGACTAGACTATAGACTAGACTATAGACTAGACTATAGACTAGACTATAGACTAGACTATAGACTAGACTATAGACTAGACTATAGACTAGACTATAGACTAGACTATGACTAGGACTATAGACTAGACTATAGACTAGATTTAGACTATACTATAGACTACTATAGACTAGACTATAGACTAGACTATAGACTAGACGATAGACTAGACTATAGACTAGACTATAGACTAGACTATAGACTAGACTATAGACTAGACTATAGACTAGACTATAGACTAGACTATAGACTATACTATGACTAGACTATAGACTAGACTATAGACTAGACTATAGACTAGACTATAGACTAGACTATAGACTAGACTATAGACTAGACTATAGACTAGACTATAGGACTAGACTATAGACTAGACTATAGACTAGACTATAGACAGACTATAGACTAGACTATAGACTAGACTATAGACTAGACTATAGACTAGACTATAGACTAGACTATAGACTAGACTATAGACTAGACTATAGATACTATAGAATAGACTAGACTAGACTATAGACTAGACTATAGAATAGACTATAGACTAGACTATAGACTAGACTATAGACTAGACTATAGACTAGACTATAGACTAGACTATAGACTAGACTATAGACTAGACTATAGACTAGACTATAGACTAGACTATAGACTAGACTATAGACTAGACTATAGACTAGACTATAGACTAGACTATAGACCAGACTATAGACCAGACTAGACTATAGACTAGACTATAGACTAGACTATAGACTAGACTATAGACTAGACTAGACTATAGACTAGACTATAGACTAGACTATAGACTAGACTAGACTATAGACTAGACTAGACTATAGACTAGACTAGACTATAGACTAGACTAGACTAGACTAGACTAGACTAGACTAGACTAGACTAGACTAGACTAGACTAGACTAGACTATAGACTAGACTATAGACTAGACTATAGACTAGACTATAGGCTAGACTATAGACTAGACTATAGACTAGACTATAGACTAGACTATAGACTAGACTATAGACTAGACTATAGACTAGACTATAGACTAGACTATAGACTAGACTATAGACTAGACTATAGACTAGACTATAGACTAGACTATAGACTAGACTATAGACTAGACTATAGACTAGACTATAGACTAGACTATAGACTAGACTATAGACTAGACTATAGACTAGACTATAGACTAGACTATAGACTAGACTATAGACTAGACTATAGACTAGACTATAGACTAGACTATAGACTAGACTATAGACTAGACTATAGACTAGACTATAGACTAGACTATAGACTAGACTATAGACTAGACTATAGACTAGACTATAGACTAGACTATAGACTAGACTATAGACTAGACTATAGACTAGACTATAGACTAGACTATAGACTAGACTATAGACTAGACTATAGACTAGACTATAGACTAGACTATAGACTAGACTATAGACTAGACTATAGACTAGACTATAGACTAGACTATAGACTAGACTATAGACTAGACTATAGACTAGACTATAGACTAGACTATAGACTAGACTATAGACTAGACTATAGACTAGACTATAGACTAGACTATAGACTATACTATAGAATAGACTATAGAATAGACTATAGACTAGACTATAGACTAGACTAAAGAATAGACTATAGAATAGACTATAGACTAGACTATAGACTAGACTATAGACTAGACTATAGACTAGACTATAGACTAGACTATAGACTAGACTATAGACTAGACTATAGACTAGACTATAGACTAGACTATAGACCAGACTATAGACCAGACTAGACTATAGACTAGACTATAGACTAGACTATAGACTAGACTATAGACTAGACTATAGACTAGACTATAGACTAGACTATAGACTAGACTATAGACTAGACTATAGACTAGACTATAGACTAGACTATAGACTAGACTATAGACTAGACTATAGACTAGACTATAGACTAGACTATAGACTAGACTATAGACTAGACTATAGACTAGACTATAGACTAGACTATAGACTAGACTATAGACTAGACTATAGACCTAGACTATAGGACTAGACTATAGACTAGACTATAGACTAGACTATAGACTAGACTATAGACTAGAACTATAGACTAGACTATAGACTAGGACTATAGGCCTGACATAGACTAGACTATAGACTAGACTATAGACTAGACTATCGACTAGACTATAGAACTAGACTATAGACTAGACTATCGGACTAGGACTATAGACTAGACTATAGAGCTCTACTATCGACTAGACTATAGGACTATAGACTAATAGACTAGGACTATTAGACTAGACTTATAGACTAGACTATAGACTAGACTATAGACTAGACTATAGACTAGGACTATAGAATAGACTATAGACTAGACTATAGACTAGGACTATTAGACTAGACTATAGACTAGACTATAGACTAGACTATAGACTAGACTATAGACTAGGACTATAGACTAGACTATAGACTAGACTATAGACTAGACTATAGACTAGACTATAGACTAGACTATAGACTAGACTATAGACTAGACTATAGACTAGACTATAGACTGACTATAGACTAGACTATAGACTAGACTATAGACTAGACTATAGACTAGACTATAGACTAGACTATAGACTAGACTATAGACTAGACTATAGACTAGACTATAGACTATAGACTAGACTATAGACTAGACTATAGACTAGACTATAGACTAGACTATAGACTAGACTATAGACTAGACTATAGACTAGACTATAGACTAGACTATAGACTAGACTATAGACTAGACTATAGACTAGACTATAGACTAGACTATAGACTAGACTATAGACTAGACTATAGACTAGACTATAGACTAGACTATAGACTAGACTATAGACTAGACTATAGACTAGACTATAGACTAGACTATAGACTAGACTATAGACTAGACTATAGACTAGACTATAGACTACTATAGACTAGACTATAGACTAGACTATAGACTAGACTATAGACTAGACTATAGACTAGACTATAGACTAGACTATAGACTAGACTATAGACTAGACTATAGACTAGACTATAGACTAGACTATAGACTAGACTATAGACTAGACTATAGACTAGACTATAGACTAGACTATAGACTAGACTATAGACTAGACTATAGACTAGACTATAGACTAGACTATAGACTAGACTATAGACTAGACTATAGACTAGACTATAGACTAGACTATAGACTAGACTATAGACTAGACTATAGACTAGACTATAGACTAGACTATAGACTAGACTATAGACTAGACTATAGACTAGACTATAGACTAGACTATAGACTAGACTATAGACTAGACTATAGACTAGACTATAGACTAGACTATAGACTAGACTATAGACTAGACTATAGACTAGACTATAGACTAGACTATAGACTAGACTATAGACTAGACTATAGACTAGACTATAGACTAGACTATAGACTAGACTATAGACTAGACTATAGACTAGACTATAGACTAGACTATAGACTAGGACTATAGACTAGACTATAGACTAGACTATAGACTAGGACTATAGACTAGACTATAGACTATACACAAACCTTAGTAAGAAAAACCATAGTAAAAACTGTTATACACAAACTTTTCGGTAGATTAAACTGTTATAAAGTAAATTTTTTATAGAAAAAACTGTTATGCACACATTTTTCTGTAGAAAAAACTATTTTACACAAAGTTGTCTCTAGTTAAAATTGTTATATAAAAAATTTTCTGTAGAGAAAATTGTTATACAGAAATTTTATAAAGAAAAAACTGTTTTACCAAAAATTTTTCTATAGAAGAAACAGTTTTTTCCTAAAAAAATACTGTTATACATAAAATTTCCTGCAGAAAAAAACTATTATACATAAATTATTTATATAAAAAATTGTTATATTCAACATCTTTATAGAGAACCCGTTTATACACAAAGTTTTCAAAACTGTTATACAATAAATTGAATTGAAATTAATCCATTTCCTTATAATTTCCCCTTCCAGCATTGTTCCACCGCTAGCTGCTCTCATTTTATTCTGTACCTATATTTTACCTATGTGGGGATCAGGACCTCAATGGAATCTCGTAGTGGGTCATCATGCCGATATTTGCAAAAAGAATTGGTGGCGTAACTTGTTGTTCATACACAACTATTTCGGTTTCAGTGAAATGTGTTTGACACACACTCATCATTTGGGTATTGATACTGAATTGTTTGCTGTTGCTCCCATTATGATCTTAGCTATGTGGAAATGGCCTCGTAAGGGTATGACTACTTTGTTGGTATTGTGTTTCATTGGTACAGCGGCCCGTTACTATACGACGGTGGTAAATGAATTGTCCAATTACATTTATTTCGGCACAAAGTAAGTTTTATTGTGATAATTCAATTATAAAGTTTTCTTTAATTTTGTTTTTATGTTTTTTTTTTTTGGGGGGTTTTCAGCATCCAAAGACTTTTCCGCACTGCTGACTATATGTATTCCTTCCCACCCATGCGTTCGACTGTTTATATTATGGGCATTTTCTTGGGTTATGGTTTACGTCAATTCCGCAATGTTCGCTTGAGTAGATCTCAATTAAGATTGGGTTGGTTTGTCTCCATTATTTGTCTGGTGGCCTCTATATTGGGCCCTGCTCCTATGGGTGATATTAACTACACCTATAATTCTACTCATGCTGCTATTTATGCCGCCTTTGCTCCCATTGCTTGGTGCATATTCTTCTGTTGGGTGGTATTTGTTTCACACAATGGTTATAAGAGTAAGTTTTGCTTTTTCAAAAATTGTATAAAATATATTAATTTTTTATAAATTTTTCAGATGGCATAACAAATTTCTTTTCCTGGAGAGGTTTCCAAGTGTCCACCAAACTGTCCTATGCCATATATTTAACACAATTCCCCATATTCTTCTTTAATGTAGGACGTCGTCGTCATATACATCATTATTATAATTTTGTGTCCATTATTGTAAGTTAATAATTTATTTGTTAAAATGTAACTTCTAAACTATTCAAACTTTAACTTATATCCTTTTGCGTTTCCTAACTTTTAGCTTGATACCAATGAATACATTTGCATATTCTTGGCCTCTGTAGCCTTAACAGTGCTTTTCGATGCTCCCTTCCAAAATATTAGGAAAATCTTGATAAAACGTCCCTCACCAGCCATTAGCAAAGTTTCGTCTAACGAAACAATCTCAAGTAAAAGCACTACCAACACTACCACCAGCCCTATTGAAACCTGTGATGACAAGACATTAGAATCGTCTGTAAAGCATTTACATTCCGATTAAAATGTTTGTTTATTTGTACATATTGTATTTAGTAGTTTTAAATTTTATTTAAATTAATTTAAGAAATTTTCATATAAATTAAGTAAACTTTTCCTGTACATAAATGTAAACAAACTCAAAAATGTAAAATCTAAGTTATTAACGGTTTTCGAACATAAATCTTCATATTTACAAGCATACTTTCAGGCTTGTGTTATAAAACACCAAGTTTATGTCATGACTACCGTTATTTTTACCTTTTGTTTTCTTTCCCTTCATCATTCCATAATTGTTATCTCTTAAGTTTGGAAACAAAACATCTTAGTCACTTTTTTATTATTTTAATTTTTTTTATTTTATTTTGTATTTAACATTTAATGTATTTTATTTGTATAATTATTATTTGTATAAGCCATAAATGTTCAAAAGAATTTATAAAAAATCATCATAATTAAATTAAATAATCTATTTAATTTTTAGTTAATGAAAATTTTAGCTATAAAATGGTTTAAAAATTTGAAATGTATACAAAACAAAGGCTTAGAATTTAAAGTTGTATTAAATTAATTATAAAAATAAACGAAAAACTAATGTTTTAAAAAAATTAATTTCTTTTTTATTCGCGTAATTTCCATAGAAAAACTGTTATACACCACATTTTACAACAAACTATCATAAATTTTTTATAAAAAAAAACGGTTTTACAAAAATGTTCCTATACAAAAAACTGTTATACAAATTTTTTTACAAAATCATCTTTCATACACAAATTATTCTGTATAAAAACTTCTTATACAGAATATTTCTATATAACAACTCCAACACAAAAAAAACTGTTACACACAAAATTTTCTATTGAAAATCTGTTATACACAAAATTTTTCTATAGAAAATCTCTTATACACAAAACTTTCTATAGAAAATCTGTTATACACAAAATTTTCTATAGAAAATCTGTTATACACACAATTTTCTGTAGAAAATCTCTTATACACAAAATTTTCTATATAAAATCTGTTATTCATAAAATTTGATATAGAAAATCTGTTTTACACAAAATTTTCTGTAGAAAATCTGTTATTCATAAAATATTCTATAGAAAATCTGTTAAACACAAAAAATTTCCTATAGAAAATCTGCTATACAAAAGTTTTTTTTTGGAATATCTCTTATATACAAATTTTTCTATAGAAATTCTGTTATGCACAAAATTTTCTACAGAAAATCTATTAAACACAAAGTTTTCTGTTATACACAAAATTTTCTATAGAAAATCTGTTATACACAAAATTTTCTATAGAAAATCTGTTATACCCAATCTGTTATTCATAAAATTTTCTATATAAAATCTGTTATACACAAAACTTTCTAAAAAAATCTGTTATACATAAAATTTTTTATGGAATATCTCTTATACACAAATTTTTCTATAGAAATTCTGTTATACACAAAATTTTCTTTAGAAAATCTGTTATTCATAAAATATTCTATAGAAAATATGTTATACACAAACAAATTTCTATATAAAATCTGCTATACACAAAATTTTCTATTTAAAATCTGTTATACACAAAATTTTCTATAGAAAATCTGTTATACAAAATTTTTTATAGAAAATCTCCAATACACAAAATTCTCTATAGAAAATCTGTTATACACAAAATTTTCTATAGAAAATCTGTTACAAACAAAATTTTCTATATAAAATCTGTTGTACACAAAATTTTCTATAGAAAATCTGTTATACACAAAAAATTTTCTATATTAAATCTGTTATACACAAAATATTCTATTTAAAATCTGTTATACACAAAATTTTCTATAGAAAATCTGTTGTACCCAAAATTTTCTACAGAAAATCTGTTATACAAAAAAATTTCTATATAAAATCTGTTATACACAAAATTTTCTATTTAAAATCTGTTATACACAATTTTTTTATAGAAAATGTCTCATACACAAAATTCTCTATAGAAAATCTGTTATGCATACAATTTTCTGTAAAAAACCTGTTATACACAAAATTTTCTATAGAAAATCTGTTATTCATAAAATTTTCTATATAAAATTTGTTATACACAAAATTTTATAAAGAAAATCTGTTATACACAAAATTTTCTATGGAATATCTCTTATATACAAATTTTTCTATAGAAATTCTGTTATGCACAAAATTTTCTACAGAAAATCTGTTAAACACAAAGTTTTCTATAGAAAATTTGTTATATACAAAATTCTCTATAGAAAATCTGTTATACACAAAATTCTCTATAGAAAATCTGTTATACACAAAATTCTCTACAGAAAATCTGTTATACACAAAATTTTCTATAGAAAATCTGTTATACACAAAATTTTCTATAGAAAATCTGTTATACACAAAATTTTCTATAGAAAATCTGTTATACACAAAATTTTCTATAGAAAATCTGTTATACACAAAATTTTCTATAGAAAATCTGTTATACACAAAATTTTCTATAGAAATTCTGTTATACACAAAATTTTCTATAGAAATTCTGTTATACACAAAATTTTCTATAGAAATTCTGTTATACACAAAATTTTCTATAGAAATTCTGTTATACACAAAATTTTCTATAGAAATTCTGTTATACACAAAATTTTCTATGGAATATCTCTTATATACAAATTTTTCTATAGAAATTCTGTTATGCACAAAATTTTCTACAGAAAATCTGTTAAACACAAAGTTTTCTATAGAAAATTTGTTATATACAAAATTCTCTATAGAAAATCTGTTATACATAAAATTTTCTGTAGAAAATCTGTTATACACAAAATTATCTAAAGAAAATCTTTCATACATAAAATTTTCTATAGAAAACCAGTTATATAAAATAATTTCTATAGAAAATCTGTTATACACCAAATAGAAAATATGTTATTCATTAAATTTTCTATAGGAATTCTGTTATACACAAAATTTTTTATAGAAAATCCGTTATACACAAAATTTTCAATGAAGAACTGAAAAATTTAGTGTATTTTCCATAGTAAATCTGTTACAAACAAAATTTTCTAGAAAAAAATCCGTTATGCACAAAATTTTTTATAGAATAATCTGTTATACACAAAATGTTCTATAGATTATCGGTTATAAAAAACCTGTTATATACAAAACTTTCTATAGAATAATAAAAAAATGTATGTAGGAAACCTGTTTTACATAAAAGGTTTATAAAATAAAATTTTTATGAAAATTCCTTTTATAAAATATTTTTTTCCTAAGGGGGTATATGTATATGAATTTGAGAAAAAAAATTTTTTTTTTTTTTTTGTAAATTAAAAAAGTAAGATTTTGTAATTTCAACTTAATATTTTAAAATTTGAATTATTTTTAACATTTTTTCCTAATGATTTTGTTTACAAAAAAGTTAAAAATGGTAAAAAAAACTTCTATAATTCCTTTTAAATTTAAAGAAAATTTCACAATAACACATTGTGAAATTCTATCAGATTTTCTCAAAATTTTATTTATTTTCATTTCCTATCGCAAATATAAACAAAAGTGCTAATAATAACAAGTCTCCCTACATTTCATTTCTCCTTTCTAAAAACGCATTGTTTTTCTCCTTATTCTTATTTACATCAATTTATTTAAAAAATTCCCACTCACCAACCGTAATTTCTCCTTTTAGTCCATCACTTCACTTTTCTCCTTTTTATTTATTTTTTTTAACCCGCTTTAACCGTTTATCTTACATCTAACGAACTAACGAACGTATAACCGCACAAAAGATAAACAAGAAAACGATTAACAATCGCCATTTAATTTTTTAGAACTTTAATTACATTTTTAATACACTTTTAGTGAACATTTTGCAGATATTTTTGCACAAAACTATTCAGAAACACTTAAATTATATTTATTAACACAAATATTTAAAATAAATTAACTTTTTCTTTAATAAAATATAATTTACGAGGACAATACACCAAAACGACCGAACCGTGTGAGAAATGAATAGCAACTGAAGTATTTATGAAAACAAAAAGGAGTGAGAAAAAGTGTATAGGAGAAATATGACAACTAAGCTTTCGTGGACAAATTAGCGTGTCAATAGGGGTAAGTTAATTCTAAAGAGCATGCGCTTTAATTTTGCTGTTTTTTTAGGTGTAAAGGAGAGAATGAAAACTTTTTTATATTTAGTCAGAGGATATAATAGAATTTACTACATTGAAATTTAGTGAAAGTAAATAGTATTGAAACATGAGAATGCTCCGATTGGAAATTAAAACTTTGAAAATAAAAAAAATGAAGAAAAACTTATTGAATTCATTATTAAATAAATAAAAGAAGGAGAAATGTTATTTTATTTAAAAATAAAACTTAATAGATAATACTAAAGAAATTCTTATGTACACACAATATTTTTTATAATTTTTGAAAATCTTTATAGATAAAATAGTCTAGTCTATACTACTATTGGGCCCTATATGGGCCCAGTAGTAGTATTACACTTGTTAAACCTTTTGTATTGTACACACAATATTTTTTATAATTTTTGAAAATCTTTATAGATAAAATAGTCTAGTCTCTGGTCTAGTCTATAGTCTAGTCTATAGTCTAGTCTATAGTCTAGTCTATAGTCTAGTCTATAGTCTAGTCTATAGTCTAGTCTATAGTCTAGTCTATAGTCTAGTCTATAGTCTAGTCTATAGTCTAGTCTATAGTCTAGTCTATAGTCTAGTCTATAGTCTAGTCTATAGTCTAGTCTATAGTCTAGTCTATAGTCTAGTCTATAGTCTAGTCTATAGTCTAGTCTATAGTCTAGTCTATAGTCTAGTCTAGTCTAGTATAGTCTAGTCTATAGTCTAGTCTATAGTCTAGTCTATAGTCTAGTCTATAGTCTAGTCTATAGTCTAGTCTATAGTCTAGTCTATAGTCTAGTCTATAGTCTAGTCTATAGTCTAGTCTATAGTCTAGTCTATAGTCTAGTCTATAGTCTAGTCTATAGTCTAGTCTAGTCTAGTCTATAGTCTAGTCTATAGTCTAGTCTATAGTCTAGTCTATAGTCTAGTCTATAGTCTAGTCTATAGTCTAGTCTATAGTCTAGTCTATAGTCTAGTCTATAGTCTAGTCTATAGTCTAGTCTATAGTCTAGTCTATAGTCTAGTCTATAGTCTAGTCTATAGTCTAGTCTATAGTCTAGTCTATAATCCAGTCTATAGTCTAGTCTATAGTCTAGTCTATAGTCTAGTCTATAGTCTAGTCTTCTAGTCTAGTCTATAGTCTAGTCTATAGTCTAGTCTATAGTCTAGTCTATAGTCTAGTCTATAGTCTAGTCTATAGTCTAGTCTATAGTCTAGTCTATAGTCTAGTCTATAGTCTAGTCTATAGTCTAGTCTATAGTCTAGTCTATAGTCTAGTCTATAGTCTAGTCTATAGTCTAGTCTATAGTCTAGTCTATAGTCTAGTCTATAGTCTAGTCT